CCCCCCCCCCCCCCCCCCCCCCCCCCCCCCCCCCCCCCCCCCCCCCCCCCCCCCCCCACCACTCATTCTGTCACTTCAGTCTCCAATTTTAGTGTTCTCTCTCTCTCTCTCTCAATTCTGTTAAAATCATTCTAGTTTCAAATTTACCCCCAAAAGATTTAGTAAAGATTACATTTTTTGGGTTTTTCATTGTCAAAATCCATATGAAAGCCCCCAACTCTACTTCAGATTAGAGCTCGATATTCTCCCTCTTTATCATAAACTTTGTGGGTTTTCAACAAAAATTCAATTCATTAAAAAGTAGCTGATTTTGGTATTTCTGCAGGAAATCTGCCGCAAAATTGCAATGCTCTTGCTGAAGACTGTGGATTGAGTGGTATATCTACCATAGTTTTTGGTTCCGTCCTTGTCTGACAGTAAAATTTATTTTGGTTTTGAGTGCGTGAATTACGGCTTTATGGTTTTCTTTTTTTATAAATATTAGAACAGTTACTGTAATGCATCCCTGGAAATTTAGTTACAGTTTAAAATACAGATTATTTAATGAGGTGAAACAAGAGTAGTAGCTTATTTTTTTTTGTGTGGATTTGGAGGATCAGAAATATAATAAAAATTGAACTAATATTGACAGGAGACATGTTTGGGCCTGGCAGTTCAGATTCTCAGCTGAACAATAGTGGGACAGTTTTTGTACCAACGCGGTTTGTGTGGCCATATGGGGGAAGGAGGGTGCTGCTGAGTGGCTCTTTCACCAGGTGACCAACTTGTTAATATGATTAATTTGAGGGAAACTCTCACCCATAGTTCAAATGTTACCACTTGTCGCACTTGGGTACCTATTCCTTTTATGTTGCATTTTTAAGTGCCCAAAATGACTTTTTGGTGCACGCAAGGACTAATGGACAGTTCCTGTCATATAGTCACTTAAAAGCATGGCACGCAACCCATTCTTTCAATGATATTTCTATATACCATAACCTAAGCTCCCCATTCTTTCAAGTGACTATTTGATGGGAATTTAAACGATTTTGGTCCGATTGTCCTTGTGTACACCAAAAAAAGACAATTTGGGGACCTAAATGCAACCAACAAATGAAAGGGAATCAACGTGCTACAAGTTATAATGTTTGGGGACTGGGCGAGAATTTCCCTAAATTTGAGTAGAATTTACTTTAATTGATTTCATCACTTTGCATATAGTTTATTTAGCGAAGAATGTGATTCTGGGTTTGCCATGTTTCGGGAATTTGCAGGTGGCTAGATCACATTCCCATGTCACCAATGGAGGGTTCCCCAACTATTTTTCAGGTTATCTACAACTTGACTCCGGGATATCACCAGGTAATTCAATCGACTGCAATTTAGTTTTCTGTGTTTTAAGATGTTCTATGCTATCTGCTAATTTTCAATCTTTGAAATAATCTATACTGCTAATTTTAATGACTGTACTCAAATTTTAGATTATATAATAAAGAAAGAACATGTTAGGCAAAAGCCACATTTAAGCACAGCCTAACACGCTAAATGTAAATGAAGTTGTTTTGTGGCTTGGTCAAAGAGGTGAGTAGCACCATGGGTATAATGGGAATGACCATCCTGAAAGAACCAATTCATACTAAAATTGGAACTTGAGCCCTTTATATATTGGAGTAGAAATGTAATGTATTTGTATATGTAATATGAGATAATTAATACTGAAGTAAATGATTTAGATCGTCACACATTCACACATAATTATGGGCTTTCTAACAAGGGTGATAAAAATGATCAACGTAATATATGTATAATTTGGACTAAGAAGATGAAATTACATTTTTCCATTCAAATAAGTCTGTGTTTGCTATCTGAATCCGGGAATCATTTGCACCTAAAAGCGGTGGAGCTTCTATCAAGTTAGAACTTGAACTCTTGACACATTCATGGTACGTGTCAAATCACATTAATTGTGAAAAAAAGAGCATCATTTTTTAATTATTTGGAATTCCTAGACGTGATCTTTCGCTGTCAGGTCAGAACTTGTTGAACTCTTGACTTGTTCATGAGGCGTGTCAAAACACTTTAATTGCGAGAAAGAGTATTATTTTTAAATTATTTGGAATTTTTCGTCTGAATAATTTTGACATGTTGATAAAACAATCATTTAACTATGAGTTTTTTATTTTTATTTTTTTCAACGTGATTAGAATTAAATTATTTCTATTGAAGTTTGGAGCTTCTTAGATCCAGTTAATCACTGAGGTTAATGTATGACCCGTGCATTAAAAGTTAATTCTTAATATTTGATATTTATAGCTTTTCTTAAAATGATTATTATTCATTGTTTTCTGTATTGCCATTTATCCCCTGTTTGAGTCCCATTATATAAAAATAATTTTTTTTCAAACTCATTTTCAACCAAGTATTCTTCCATTAAAATAATTTTGCAAGTAAACTCAATTTTTATTTTCTTTTTAGCCACACATTCTCCTAAAAAATCACTATTACAAAACTTATTTTTCACTAATAAAAGGGCTGAAACAGAGCCTTAATCAATCTTTATACTCATCTAAACTTGAGCTCTTCTATTAAGTATCTTTTAAGTTTTAGTGTTAAAAATTGTCGAAAATATTGACTAGTACTCTTATATAAGCTCGTACAAATATTTTGAGCATGTTTATGGGTGGCTTATTAGCATGCTTATAAGCATGAAGTGAGAAAAAGTATGTGAGGGGATACTTTTCTCTGTCATGCTTATTAGGATGAAATAAGCCACCACAAACATGCTCTCTAGTGTGCACTTTCTCATATCAAGGCTTTCCTTCAATTTCCTATGAGGGGTGCGTTAGCTAGACCCTTTTCTTTTTTCGAGATTGGAGAGGAATGCCCGATTCGCAAGGGACATTTGTTTTCTCTCATCTTTGTGGGCCAAGTCTTCCAATTTTTCTTCCTTTTCATTTCATTGCCTTACTACTATTGATATTCAACGTGATTAGATAGCTTTTCATAACAGCAGTGGATTATATTATTTTTGTTTGAGATGGAGGATATCTTCTCTTCTAGACCTTGAGCTTGAAGCTTTCTAACTTAGAAAACTTGCATTTTCTATTCAAAAATGATGTTTATACTTGTTTTCCTTTTGCTTCATCATATGCAGTTCAAATTTTTTGTTGACGGTGAGTGGAGGCATGATGAGCACCAACCCTTTGTAACCGGAAATTATGGAGTGGTGAACACTATATTCTTAGACAGGGAACCTGAAATAATTCCTGCATTTTTCAATCCAGAGACTCCTGGTAGATCTAACATGGAAGTGGATAATGATCTCTTTCTTCCGGTTAGATACTTTTTAAGATATATGCTTAAAATGATGTTCTGCAACTAGCTGTATTTAAAGTTGTTACCTCTATGTACAATTGTATAATTCATGCCATTTTCATTTGGCATCTTTTTAGAGTGCTTTCTTTCCGCCCTTCTTTTCTTTTTCGTGGTTATCATCCTCTCGAGGGTATCTGGTGTTCACTTGTAATTGGAAAGTACTAAAGCTCTCTAGAAATGTTATTACCAGTAAAATTTCTTGAAGAAGAGTGCATTGTTATTATCTGCAAGAGCATCCTAATCCTCGCTATGTTACTCTGGTTAAGGACATTACTATGGCTTATTGTACAGAAAGGGTGACATGGTCATATGATACCTTGCAGGAAGCAATTCCAAGAATATCACAAGCTGATGTTGACCTATCTCGTAACCGTATATCTGTTTTCTTGTCCACTCATACTGCGTATGAGTTGCTTCCTGAGTCTGGCAAGGTGGGCTTGATATGCCTGTTTTTAATGCTTCATAACAATATTTGGTTTGATATCCACGAAGTATCTAACTCTTTAACTTTAATGATATTACTTCTTCTGACAGGTAATTGCTTTGGATATAAACTTACCGGTGAAACAAGCATTCGATATTCTTTATGAACAGGTAAATCTGCATGCTTAAATGTGGTGTTGCATGATTTTTAGGCGACTTCTTTATTTGTAAGTTCTGCCTTCCTCTATCTGTAGGTCAAGTCTGGTATATAAAATTTTGTTCAAGTGAGGTTAAAATTTTCTTCATGTGTCTGTTGTAAGACTACATGCATGCTTTTGTTCCATGCAGTTATGCATGTTGCAGTGTAATATCAGTGAATGCCTGTGTTTCTTGTATTAGTTATCTCTTTTAGATGTTAGTGTAATTGTCCCTAGTTTCTCCCCGAACCTTTTGCTCTGCATTATGGTTTAGCAATATCAGTTTCAACTCTATCTTTCATGGGGTATAAGTTTTTAGTATAAGTGGATATTCTAATCCGTATTTTTGATTAAAACATGTTGAATTATTATCACAGATATCCTAATAGATTAGAACATATTGAATTATTATCATCATGCCTGGGACCTTTTCTTCCCATCTCTTCTTAATGTTTTTTTCTTTAATCTTTCATAGTCCTCCCATTGCAGTTAATGTTCTACACAATCATTTCTGATTTATAGTCTGGATTTTATCTCATTTTATCAAAGCTATCTCCAGGGAATCTCTGTTGCTCCTCTGTGGGACTTCCGCAAGGGTCAGTTCGTTGGAGTTCTTAGTCCATTAGACTTCATCTTGATACTTAGAGAGGTATTATTTTCTCTGATTGGCATTGCAATGCAGAGGATGGGTTTACTTTCTTGGCACGGAGCTCTATTTTGCTGAACATTTTTTAAGGCAGTTTTATGTAGATAAATTTTTTGGATTCCCACTTTTCTGGTAAAAGTCTACCTTGAGCAGCCTTATATTTGCTCCGATTATTGGATAGTTCTCAATTTCATCCTTTAAGCCTATAATTTGGATTTACTACAGAAGATAAATTTCGATTTATCCATACTTAGAATTTCTCTATCAGTCATGGATTGCTGAAGAACGATTATCCACGTGATGCACCTTCAAATCCTAGTCTTGATATTTTTGGGTATTATATCTAAATTCAAATGAGTATAATACTGTTTTAATAACATGATTGATTCAAGTTTGTGTAAGATATAAAATTTGACATTATTGCCAGTGTTTTCTGACATGTGTATCACTTATGTGAAATAACTGTTTACAATACACAATTGTGAAATAATAATCCTGTGTCGTATGGAATGAAAACTGGAGGAAAGTGGGAGTGTAGGAAGAGGAAGTCCATTGCCTTGATCCCTTGCTTTAGTCACCCTTCTGACCCTCCTTCCATTTCCCCCTTTTCCTGAACGAACACTGCCTCTTATCTATCAGCTATTGTTAATGTTCCCTAAATACTAACGAACATTAAATGGGGCTTAGTATTCCACCATCTATTTTTACCTCAATTATCACACTTCATCTCTATCATAGTTTCATTTATTCTAAACTATGAAAAGGCAAGTTCTAGAGATGCAATACCATTCAATTCTTGAAATAATGCATAACTGTAGCAATTTTTGTGAATGGAAAAAAATTAGAATGGATTTTTCTTACTCTTCTTTTTTTATCCTTTGTGGAGAATCTGAAAGGGGAATCGACAATATGACTTGCAATCAGAGATGTGCATGGTTCAGTTTTGTCTTCTCTACTATTTTACTTAGGATCCTCATTTCCTTTTTTCTGGGGAACTTGCTCAGTTTTTACTGAGTATTGTATATTAAGCCCCTATTTGGTGCACATTTTTGGAAAAAGAATGCATTTTTATTATTGATGTGAAGAGAATATGTGGTTGAAAAAGGAGGAAAAGTTATTGATGTGATGGAAAATATTATTTTATTGAAGAATGTGTGGTTGAAAATGAATAGAAGAATGAAAATGAAAATTTTAAAGTGTACCAAACAGGGGGCTTAGTAATTATCATTTGACATTAGGAAAAGTTAGTGATGTGATGGAAAATATTATTTTATTGAAGAATGTGTGGTTAAAAATGAGTAGAAGAATGAGAATGAAAAAAATAATGTGGCTCAAACAGGGCCTAAATTGAGTAACTTTAATCATTCATTCTGTTTCTGAACTCCAGCTTGGGAATCATGGATCTAACTTGACAGAAGAAGAACTCGAGACACACACTATATCAGCCTGGAAACAGGGAAAAGTATATCTCAACAGACAGATTGACGGAAACCTGAGTTCATATTCAAGGCAGCTTGTCCATGTACGCTAATTTTATAATGATTGTATGGATGTCGCTGACACAGTTAGTTTGGTCTATTATTTCACTTTATTTTGTAGTTCTGATTCTTTTCTATGTTAGAATGTCAGTTTCACTATTTTTATGGGAGTTTCATTGTAACACTTTCTCCCAAAGATAGGGGAAATATAGAAGTAGAAGCATATATGTCAATATCATTCAATGTCACGCCAAGCAAATAAACTTTAAGCTTGGCAGGAACTTCCTGCTGTTTGTTGGGGAAAACATGTTATCCAAAGATAATAGCCATGTATAATAATGACTTAAAGAAGGCCTTTCACTGAATGAACAGTGGTGACAGTTTCAGTATCTGAAGGGAGATGGGGAAACTTTTTCATGACAAGATTAAAAGATCCTCTATTGGCAGGCCTGATACTCTTCCAAGAAATATAATAGGCACTCCATGGCCTGGTAAAGTCAGAGGATCTAAGCAACATTTGAACTTAACAATTGCTTTCAGCCTCTGACCCTTTCACTGAGTAGATTGGTTAACAAAATTTTGGACCTTGATAAAATGAAAATGTCTTCCAACTGAGCAAGGTAGAGGTTTAACTGTGGTTGGGAGTCTTGTGACTAAAAGTAGAGTTATTAAAAAATTCTAATGAGAAGACGACGTAATTAAGGTAAGTTCATTGTTGGTTGGGTGACTACACTCTTCCTGTCTAGCTCTCTTTAGATAATTACTGCCTTACTTCCAAGTTTGAAACCACAGAGATTTGGTTGTACATCTTATTTGGAGCTGATTTTTCCCCATTTAATGTTGCTATGAGATGGCGAACAAAGTGATCTTACGTAATCCATGGAGCCTTTCATGTAAGAGAAGACAAACTATGAAGTAGATAGGGTAGAATAGTGTCTTCTTATTGTTCAATCTGTCTGACAACGTTCTAAATGATGAATTCACACTTGTTTTCGACCTGCCTAAAACATCTGTGTAGGATTTTCCCACACCTTGAAAATGGCATGTTCATTAGGCACAAACTGGATACATTTTTTTACTTTTGTTCCATTTGATTATAGTTTCTTTTTTTTTTGAAGTTACTTTTTGCGCCTTAAAGAGAATAAATGAGATGAAAATAAAGTTAAAACTATTTTTTTTTCTTTGAGATGTATACCTGGCAACATTGTGTTCTAATATTATATTTATTTTGATATGTACTTTTAAAATATGTAGGCTGGGCCTCAAGATTCTTTGAAAGACGTTGCTTTGAAACTTCTGCAAAACAATGTTTCGGCGGTTCCCATTATTCACTCTTCATCACAAGATGGTTCGCATCCTCAGCTACTTCACTTAGCTTCCTTATCTGGGATTCTAAAATGTAAGCTATTTGTAGTAAATGGATTGAAGTGCATTCATTTGGCTCTGTAACTAATATACATGCCAAATCTCCAGGTGTATGTCGTCATTTTAGACATTCTTCTAGCTCGTTGCCCATTCTTCAACAACCAATTTGTTCTATTCCTTTGGGTACTTGGGTTCCAAAAATTGGGGAACCAGGTGGAAAGCCAATTGCAATGCTGAGACCCAATGCCTCTCTAAGTTCTGCTCTTTCTCTGTTAGTTCAAGGTTAATGTTCCTCTTGACTTACCATCATATACTTTCGTTTGACTGAGTGTAAATTATTGGGATTTATGGGCAGGGGAACTGCATTTTTTCTAATTAATAAGAAGGGCCAAATTTTGCTTTTTTTCAATGAAGGCGCACAAATGACATTCTGTATTGATGATCACCCCAGCTTTTTTTTTCCTGGTAATTAGAAGCTGTAGCATCCCTGAATATGCAGTGTTTAAATCAATATAGAGGGGCATACCGCTCTTTTAAAATATCTGTGAAGCATATTTCTCATAGTTGAAACGGAATAAAAAAAGATATTAAGATTCACTAGCAAGAACAAGGTATGACTAGTTAAAACCAAATCCTGACCCCAGTTCTTATGGCTCTGCATGATCCTTATTTCTTATTTTGCCTTGCTCTTTATATTGATGAAGATGTCGGCCAATAATTCTTTTGGAGAGAAAGCCCCTATTCCTTTTTCATTCCTCTCTTACCATGTGAGGAAGAGTGGCAGAGTTCCAATTTGTGCTGTCCCTTACTAACATTAATATGACAGAGAATCCACTGCCAGACCTTCACAGAAAAGTAAACGTGATGTAGTAGATTCTACAGCTTCCTCACACAATACATTGTCTCTGCTGCTGTAGCAGATATCTCTATTTATGAACCATACAATAAGGCTGTGTTTTAAAAAATGTGATTAAAAAGTAGAGAAAAGTTTTGGGTTTACATGTAAAATTATTTTATTGAAAAATGTATGGTTAATTCATCAGCTTGTGCATCAGCTTGTTTATGAATCTCACTTGTAAGCCCTTCTGCCTTGAGGCCATTATCAGCTGTCATTCATTATAATGGACTGCACTTTGGCTTTTTATTTTTTTCCTCATTGTTATAATTGAAATCTGCACCCTAAGAGGCACCTAGTTATGCCAATTTCAAACCATAGAAAGATCCAGCTCCATTTTCCATTGTTAATGCCCATACCTTCTCTCTAAGCTTGAGTATCTTTTCCACATCAATGAACCATCCCACACCTCTGCTGCACCCAAGTTTTCCCGAATTTTTCAGTTTATTAGTCATTTTTAGTTTAGTCTATTATTTATTTTCTCTCATAACTGATATAGTAATATTTCTCTTCTATTGCATTTTTTTAATTTCTTATGTTGCAATCCGATGTGTTAATTTGATCTGTTTGTATAGAATCTTCTGACTGAACGATATGGATAAATCTGATTGATTCTTTTTGATTTATAAACTCCTCCCTTTCACGTTGATCTTTTCTGTCTAATTTTGTTCGGAATTTCTTAGGAATTTATTGCCTTCTATTTTACAGTCATTTTTATGTTAACACAAATTTTTCATTTGGTCACTGCCCCCTCTCTTTTTCTAGTCCACCAAAATTCACTGGCCTCCCGCCAACACCAGTCTCCTTCCCCAAACCATAAATATCATCCAACACCAATAGAGCCGAAACCAAATTACTACCACCTTCTGACCATGCCTGCCAACCAATGGTGACTACTATCCCTCCTACCCTACTGTCCAACCATCATGACTGCCACTACTACTGGAAAAAGCCCCCTGATTAACTCCACAATCACCATTCACATGGCCTCCTGCTATTATCATCACAGCCAATAACTCCACAACACACAAACCGACTTCAATATCTAAGAAACAGCCAGCGATTATTGCCGAAGTGAAGGATCACCATTTTGACCCACTGCCACCATGCCAAAATCAACTCCTAGGCCATATTTTCTATCACTGACCACAGATGGTTGGCTTACTCCCAGCATGCTGCCTCCCATTGGTCTTATTGATGAAAGCTGAAAAAAGAGGTTACGTAATTATAGTGGCTTTGGCTGGGGATTTCGGAAAGGCGTTAGTGATGGTAACTTGATCAAGCTTCTAGAAGTTGCTGAAGCTCTGGTAAGAGGAGCTGGAGATAATGACAACACCTAGGGGTTGGCTATGGTACTGCTGGTGGGGAAGTGGAAACAGCTGGGACAGAGGATGATGAGGACTCTCAGTATCAGGGGCCTGTGAGGTGGCATAGCACGCTGACTTCTCATTGTGGAAGTCTATGAAGGGGGTGGTGATACTGTAGTTTTCTGGCTTTGGGTTGAATGTTGGGAAGGTGCTTCCAGCAGTGGGTTGTCTTGGTGTGCAGGTGGTGGGTTTGGGAAGGAAGAGATGATAGTGGCTGTGCGAGTTTGAGATGTAGAGAGAGAGAGAGAAAAACACCCTTCTCTTTTCTATTTTTATTTTAAAGAGTTAGGTACAATCTATAAAGTATATGTTCATTTTGGATTGGTAGTTATTACTTCAGAACTTCCAGAAGAGGGAAGACATTAATTCAACATGAAACTGAAGGAGTACTTATTGTTCATGTTTTGTTAGAAAAAATAAGCATACGGAACCTTATGTTGTTCATCTTTCTTTGTTTTATTGTTTGTGTTTCAGCTTAAAGTTTGCTTGCTATTATTTATTGAGTGCAATCATTTTTCTCCCATGAGATTTGCTTTCTTGGCAAAAATTTCTCTGCCATTAGTTCTTAAACCATTTATCAATACTCCTGATTTTTGTTATTTTAACCTTTTGAATTCTTTTATCTCCTGACAACCTCCCTTTTCATTTTGCAGCTGATGTTAGTTCCATACCTATAGTAGATGACAGTGATTCCTTGCTGGATATATACTGTAGAAGGTTGGTCTTTTCTAGCTGCACGCAGATATTCTATTGTTTTTTTATCACTCTTTATTTGAGTTCGGTTGTACCTTCATGAAAGATTAGTAAATGATTTTTGTTTCATGGCAGTGATATCACTGCTTTGGCGAAAGACAGAGCGTATGCACAGATTCCTCTCGATAACTTGAATGTTCATCAGGTACTTGCTTAGAAGCTTGTTATGTTATATGATATGCATTTAAGTTGCAAATCCTGGGTAGCTCTAGAATTAGTGAATGAACGTATGAACTTGAGAATATTCCTTCAGATATCCAATTATGATCTTTTATATGTGCTCCCCTCTCCTTTCTTCCAAAGAGAATGAGACATTAGAAATAGTAAAATGGGACTAATCTGACCATATATGAAAATTTCACCTTCTCCCTGTAGATAAAATAGTATAATTGATGCATAGCTAAATGGGATAACAAGTTATGAACTGAAATTACTAAGAAGGATGGTGGTAGCAAATCAGTTGAACTTATAGGTGGGGTAATTTGAGCTACTAAGTATAAGCAAAATCAAAGAAGTAGAAACATGTAAGAGATAAGGTAAGAAAAGGTGTACAGTACCTTACTCTTGGCTTATTTTTTTCCATTCCAAATTGGAGGGTTGAAGAAGGTAATGGACTTGATTGAACTCAAATAAGCTTTATCCCTTTCTTATCTTGCATGGCTATTCCTCTAGATACTCTGGTTGAAGTTCAGCACTAACTAAATATAGTGTTCTTTAAGCCCATCCTTTATGCTTACTATATTCTCCTTAGGTGATTTCCCTTTTTCTATTTATATGTTTTGGGACACTTGTACTTTTAATCATTAACTCATTGTTAAATGAAGTTGATTTTTGTTTCTATTATCAGTATGCCCGTGCTAAAAAATTGAAATATATATATATATATATA